CCCCAAAACCCCAAAACCCCAAAACCCCACTTTTATGATTCTAGATTGAATATAAATTTTACTGTTGTTTTTATAATCTTAAATTTTCTCAGAGCTTATAATATATCCTAAACCCAAAATGAACTCTATTTGAAGTGAGCCAATAAGCAATGAGCATAATCGTGATGCTGATGGTCTTGATTCTTCATACCAAGAACTAGATGATAATACTTCCCAAAAGGTGCAAGATCTAGATGAGAAGGCTTCTTTAAGTAGCTCTAATGAGCTGAAAAGTACGCAAACTTTTACATCTTTCTAACATGTATAGTATGTTCACCAAAACAACAGAAATTGATGAGCTTAAGAATTTCGAAGAATTCGGAAATTAGGGGCCAAAACTTCAATTGTGACAAGAATGATCCTAACAGTGCTTATATTAAAGACGAACAATTCTTTAGTACAAGAGGAGAACTTCTTAGCCCAAAATCTGTTAGTGAAGCACATAGGTTCAATAGTAACCTTGATTCTCTAAGTACTAGGAGAAGCTTTGGTGGGAGCAGTTCTTCATCCTCTAAACGATTCTTGAGTCCATGCAACAGTGAGTACACAAGTGCCTTATGCAAGCTGAGCTCCAAGGCTATGATCAAGATAAACAAGCCTAAGGTTTATGCGAACACCAACATTTTTAAGCTTGATTCTAGACTTCTATGTATGAATAGGTTTTAAAATGTAGGCGAATCTGCAAAAGATAATAAGATTAATACAATGCTCGTATTCAATAAGGGCCAACTAGTCAGGCCTGTCAAGCATAACATGAAGCACCAGTCCTGGGCAATACTCAATTCTGGTAGGTTTAGCATGCTTATGCTTTAGATTTAAAATTTTGTGTAAAAAGCTAAGTTGAGCTGATTGACTCAAAATTCCTCAAGTCAAATCTTTCAGAATATCCAGTCGGCAAATTTATAGATTAGTGGAACAAGCCTTGTACGTTCTATCATACATTGAGAGGCTAGATTACATTTATAATTGCTAATAATAATAGCTGCTGAAGAAACTTATGATGTGAAAGCAATAGGATATCTAAAGCAAGATGTAAACGCTTCTTTGCCATATGAAAACCATCTTGAAATGAAAGCAGGAGAACTTGTATGAATTTGAGGAGAGGCAAGCCCTAAAACGGTATTTGCTTACAAATCTAACGATCCAAAATGTGCTCTTCAAATACTGAAACTGAAAGATATCATATTCCCCACTTTTCATAAATAGTTCAATCTTCGTGCACATTTTGGGGTTTTGGGGTTTTGGGGTTTTGGGGTTTTGGGG